CATCGAACGGATCTGAACCTACTCCAGAAGACGATGATGCATGTGAAGACTAGAGCTGGTCTCTGCAACGGCGGTTCCCCAGCCTGAAAGACACGACAAGTGATGCGCTGGCTTAGGTAGACATGCAAGTGTCATCTATGTGTGAATCAATTCAATACCTTCTACATTCTCTTGCAGCGACTTCTCCAGAGTACTGCTGCGAATTCGAATTTCATATATTAAACTGGCGCGCGACTTGATTCTCCTGACTTCTCACCGAATGTGACCGTGCCCTCTTCCAGATTCGATCATCTAGCATGCCTAGCTAGGCCCTCTACCCCCCTTGCCCAGTATCCCCCTATTAAGTATCTTGTCTCGTCTCCGCGTCCTGGCCAAGCGATTAGCGACGGGCATCCTCATCCGACGCCATCGTATTATCAACATGCCATTACACGCCATCATATGCTACCTACTATCGCTATTCTTACACGCCACCATGACGCATATTACTAACATCAACATCAACCCCGCCACCGTCCCACCCCAGCACCGCCGCCGTTTCAGATAGGTGCCGTAGCTTGCTCGCAGGTCTGAGAGTGTGGGTTCGCGGGGAAAGGTACAGTACGTAAAAGGAGGCTAGCCAGCTACTTACGGTACCGCTATGCAGCCGTTTATAGCCCTGCCCAGCCCAGCCTAGCCCTGCCCTGCCCTGCCGTCTTGCTAAGTACGCACGTACGTACGTAAGAGACTCTCCATCCATCCATACCGGTACATACATACCGGTACATATATATATACTGTCCGGAAGAGGAACTCGGAGGCGCGATCGAAGAACGGACTCGGCAGTTCCAGAATTAGGGGATAAGAGAGTTTAGGCGGGGGGCGGGGGGTTGTAGGCTGTTTCATACTACTACTTACGCAGGATACCTACCGACCTAGGTGCTCCGCGCGATTTCCCTCGCGCTCAATTACGTAGGAACTCTGTTTGTTCCGGCCTTTGGGATTTACGTAGTAGGTGGGCTAGATGTAGATGTAGATCTAAAAATATCCCACCGTCCCTGCCCCGCCCCACCCCCCCCGCCTTCTATAAATAAATACCGGCCCCGGTACCGGCCCCAGTCCAGCTCCATAAATCAATCAATCGTAAAGCGATGCTTTCCTTCCTTCTTTTTGAACGGCCCAACGCCCTGCCATCTCCACTCACTCACTCACTTACTCACTCACTGCACAGACCTACAGACCGGTTCAAATTTGAAAGATGCCTTTTTTTTTCTTTTTTTTTTTCTTTTTTCCAAGGCTGTAAGTACTGTATAGGTAGGTATGAATACGGTAGTAAGTAAGTAGGTAAGTAGGTAGTAAATCCTTAATTGCTTGCTTACTTACTTACTTACTTACTTACTTACTTACTTACTTATACAGTACAGTACGGTAAGGTAAGGTGGCCGGTTCAAGCTCTGGTAAGATAGATAGAGAGATAGATGTCGTGCGCGATTTGTCCTCTCGGGAGGTACGTGGTACCGTATTTACTATTTACTATTTACTATTTACTACCTACCTACGTAATACGTATTTATAAGAGAAAGAATACGGAGTACTCTTGAACAAGGGCGTTTCATACCCTACTCCTACTCCTCTGAACCACTTTATTTCCTTCTCCAGGCTTCGCTGGCGCGGTGCGCTGCGGTACCTACCTACCTACAGTAGCAAAATATACCGTGCAGCGAAGCGAAGCGCGCGGAAATTCTAGTACTGGAGAGTTAAGAATATTAAAACGCAGTGCTTGGACCCTAGGGCCTCTCTTACGGGGTACGGGGACGTGCTAAGTAGGTACCTAGGTAGGTAGGTAAGTAGAGGAAAGCCCTCAAAAAGCAGTTCAAAGAATCGGTCGGCACGAAGCTGTCTCTTGGTAACGGGAACTGTCGATTACGTGCGGCCTCCATCCGTACAAGTATAAATACAAACATCGTTCTCGTCCTCGTAGAGCTATAAAGGCTCGCGTGCGGAGCCCTTGGTGAAGGCGATGGATGTGCTTGTCTGTCTGTCTGTACTTGATGCCTTGTGGAAGCTATGACTTCACGATATCGTATGCTCCCTCTCGCGGTCCTGCTTACGGCAGACGCACGAAGGGGAGCATGATATACGATATTCCCGTCGTACCTCGCTCCTCTTCTCTTCGAGGGAAGGCGACGCCGCTCTGGCGATTGGTATCCTTGTCCCTAGGGGCCTTTGTCTTGTGGATGTAGAGAGGCTGCGAGTTGCGATCACGGGGTTGGGATCGAGAGGGGAATCCGTGCCCTTGCCTTGTTTTATTTTCCCGTCCTGGTCTTCCTTCCTTGCTCGGGACGGGTCGGGTCGCTCGCTTGGAAATCTCAACGAGGTGACTGCCGTTAATACTTGCAAAAATAAAAAATTTGGTAAAAAAAAAAAAAAAAGAAGAGGAGAGAGAGAGAGAAGAGAGAGAGAGAGAGAGAAGAGA